TGCGTGTCCTAGTTCTGCGCACGTTTCGCCTCAGCACGGGTTGATCCAACATGACAAACCCCAAGCGAAAATCGAAAGTTAAAGCCAGCGCAAGCACCCCCTCGTCGAACGTCTCAGGTCCAAGCCGCCTGGTTACCACCTGGACCGACCATCAACACCGTCTTTCTTTTCTGTACTAACCGTTCAAGGTGTCGTTTTCTTCGGGTTGCCCATGTCTTTTTTTGAATTGACAAAGTCTCTTCGCTAGGGTTGGGGCTTATGATTTGGGGTTGAGTGTTCCGGGTGTGGTGGCTTCTTGGGTGTACCGCGTCGTCTATTGTGGGTTAGCAGCAAGTTGTGCTTGAGTTTGAATTTTGGAGTTGCGGGTTTAGGATCTGTGGTTTCGGAGCTGGTGCGTAGGCTTTGAGATTTGGGGGTTGAGCGCTTAGGATTCGGGTTTAGGTGAGAGTTTACGTCTAGGGTTTAGGACTTCGGATTTTTGGGTTTCGGGTTTAGGGTTTCGGGTTTTTGGGTGTGGGATTTCGCGATTGGGTTTTTTTAGTATTCGGCGTTTGCAACCGACAGCCGCTTGACGGAAACACAGGAAGACCCAGTTAACACCAAAAAGACAGACACAGTTGCCGAATAACATCTAGAAACTCAGCAAGTGATACACGCCACAGGACAAAGAACACAGTTAGTGAAGACAACAGAAACAGTTAACAGCAACGAGAAAGACCTAGTTGGCCAGCTTTGCCACAGGACCTGTTCGTTCGGGGTGCACTGACGACGCCGGTCTGCGCTGTGCTACTTAACTGCCTGGAGTGCAAAGCGACCCAAGGGGCCCATAGCTAGCCGAGCATTTGAAGAGGTGTTTGAAGTCAGTGGTTCTAGGGTGCTTCAAGTTGCAGGGTTCTTTCATCGGTTAGAGCCCATTGGAACCTCTTAAACTCTCACAGCTTACACAGTGTCTATGAGCTCATGTGTTTCAAGCGGGTGAAGCAACGTGAGCGACAGTCATGACCCAAGCTCCCAAAGCGCAGGCTTGGCTTGCCGTTGTCCGTGGCTTCTACGGTGCCCAGCATCACGCACGTGATCTCGCTGACCACCTACGAGGTCACGCAGCCAAGACAAGAACTAAGACTTTTCCATGTCACCCAGCTCTATCTATCGTGTACAAATACATCCATCACCCCTCGTTAAGTAATAACAGGAACAAGCAGACAGATAGATGCAGATAGTAGTCACAGCGTATAGAGACAGATACACTACAAGACCTACGCAAATAGATACGTACATGCACGTGAGTGGATCGACATTCATGTAGGTGTGGGTTGGGTTAGCCACCACACCCAGGTGACAATATAATCACACCACTGCCTCTGAGCAGGGCATTGTGTGCTTAGCGGATTTGTGACACCGGAGGTGTCTCCGAGTTTATCAATACTTGTTGCTGCGACTGCTCATGTGGAATTTGATCTCTGTGATCTCTTTTTGCGAAGACTTTGTCGTTGTTTCTGCATATCGTCGTGTTTGCCTAAGCGAAATGATAAAGCCGGAGCTTCGTATGCTGCATTCCCGTGATTGTGAATGTTTTCGCTTGGGTCTTTGTTCTTTAAGCTAGCACTCTTTCCTCCTCTCGTCAATCACAGTCACCATCTTGCTTCTGCTGCCATTAGTTTTCCGTTGCTGCGGTTGAAGTGGTACTGCCTCGTCAACATCCGTAGTGGTGGCGGTGGCTGGTGGAGGTAGTTGTGATCGTAGTCGTAGGAATTTTCCTAGTATTGGCACAAGTATAAGTTTAGGTAGTTTTCGTAGTAATCGTAGTATGAGTCGTGGTGGTGGTCGTCGTTGAGTACTAGTACCAGAAGTACTAGTAGTACTGGTAGTTCTAGTAGAAGTAGTAGTAGTAGTAGTAGTAGTAGTAGTAGTAGCAGCAGCAGTAGCAGTAGCAGTAGCAGTAGCCGTAGCTGTAGCAGTAGCAGTAGCAGTAGCAGTAGCAGTAGCAGCAGCAGGAGGAGGAGGTCGTTGTAGCAGTGGTCGTCGAGTACCAGAGTATTTCCTAAAAGAGAAGCCTGAGCAGCAGTACTGTTAGCACTACAACAGATCACGACATAATACAATACAACATAATATAATATAGCAGATAAGATTTCACATATAATGCAACATAATAGATTCAATAATATAATGGAAGAAAATATGCTTTAGCATTCAACTATATATATATAGATGGATATTATACAATATATAATATCTATATTATCTTTCTATGTATCTATCTATCGGCCATATAACAGAACATAATATAATGTAATATGATTTAACTTAATATAGTATAATATACTATAATTTGCTAAAATATAATATACTTTGTGAAAAATATTAGACAATATAATTCCATATAAGACAATATAATGTAATATCATATTATATTATATAATATCAAAAAGTGACATAAATCAAATATTCGCATATAATATTATCTAGTATAATGCAATTTAATACCATATAATATAGTATGATATAATATAATGTCGTATAATATAATATAATGTAGTATCGTATAATATAATATAAAATAACATAATATAGTAGAGTATAACATAATATGATATAATATAATATAATATAATATAATATAATATAATATAATATAATATAATAAAAAATATAATATAATATAACATAATATAAGATAGTATAATATAATATAACATAATTTAAGATAGTATAATATAATACAATATAATGGAATAGAAACGCGATATAATATATGATAGCTGGCAGGAGGGCCTTGGCTCACGGCTTCGTAAAACCCGGCACAGCCTCTGTCGATATGGGTAGTTGTCAAAATTATGGTCCTTTTTGGGGTACCCTAAATAATAGGTGCCGTATTATAATAAGGACCCAAAAAGGGACCATAATTTTGACAACCACCCATATCTATTGATCCGCGGGACCCAAAGCCGAGAGGTGCAGCAGCTTCCTCAGGGCGAACGTAAAGTACCAACGAAGGCCTGCTCAGGGTTCGAGGCTTGCAGCTTTCCACTGTAGACGCCGTCAGTGCATTGTGGCGTCTTGTGATGGTTCTTGGAGTTCTTGAGTTTTTATCCGAACGAGCGTATGCAGAGTTCGGCGAATCTGTCAGCACGTCCTTGCTGCCGGTCGAAGTTTCTGTCCAGCTCCGGCTCGTTTTGCTCAGTTTGCCAAAGATGTCTTCCCCTAACCTCCCAGGTACCTACTATATAAGGCCCCAGGGGCTCTAGTACCGGGGTTAGGGTTCCTTGTCACTTTAGGTGGACTTTCGCGCAGAGCAGTTTTAGAAGCCTTCGAAAGCCTTGTGATTTCATGTCCACGGCCTCATCTCTGAAGTTGGAACCTCAAACTGGCCAGCAGACCGAGCCCCTTTGATGCCGCGGACAGGTTGTCGAGCAACGTGCCACAAACTTCCTGTGCCTGGGCTGATGGTTGGGGATCAGGTTCATGGACACTTAGGAGCAGGAGCAGGTGAGCTCTTGAAGGATGCTTCTTTGAACGGGGCAGATCGCGGCATGTAGCAGGGTCGATGTTGAAACCTTTTGCAGTTGATGAATTTGAGAACCGGGTGCAGGCGATGTCAGGTTCGTGATGAGGTTGGGAGGTTGGCTGGTGCATTCGAGTCTCGATAGGTTGCAACTGCTTAAAGTATCTTTGTCCATCAATCTGTAGAGCCTGGAAGGATCCACGTGCTCATCGGCTGTGCCTTGTTCATGGCACCGATTCTGCATCTTGACTGATCTTCCATGTTGCAGTTCAGGGGGCTTGCGTGGATTCTGCATGTTTCTTCCATGCCCCAGCCTCTTGGACTTGCATGGTGCGATGCATCCAGAACAACACGTCCCAAGTTGAAAGAGCTCTGGTCTTAAACGAAACGCTGAAACAAGTGAGCCTCAATCTTGCGCCAAAAGGGTCCTCCTTGTTTCGCCAGGACGGCCAAGCCAGAAATTCCTGAACCGTAAAGCATTGCCGTTGCCTCTTTCTTGTGCGGATTCCTTCTGCTGAGGAAGTTCATTCCCCGAGCCGTCCTCCAGGGCGTTTTCTTCTACATGGGCATCGCCTCCCTGACGGGAAACAACCTCTTCGACCGCATGCCCCTCTGCATGCAAAAGTCTTGACGTGAGATCCGTGAACTCGCATGTCTTCTTTGTCGGCCAGGCGTCTTGTCTGTCAGTTGGGATCGAGAAACATGTGCCATAAGAGGCCATCGCGATGGCTGTCTCTGTGCTATGCGCTCCCACGAGAACCCTCACGGATCCGTGCGCGCAGCACCTGAGGAAGCTCTGGCTCATCTGGGACTCCTCCAAGTATCCGTCGTACCACTACATCCAGAAGCTGCCCGTGAGCAGGGTCCACCTCTACACCTTCGTGCAGGCTATGTTTCGGGATTCCGGCCGGGAGGGCGTGCCATGCCGAGGCTCCTCCCCTAGATCTGCCCCAAGATGGCGGCAACAGTGGGGCAAAAGTTCGACCTGCAAAGTGGGCTATGAACCTCCACAAGGCCCATGCCTGAACCCTCGCAGCCCCAACGTGCTTGTCTGCAGTTCATCTGCCTGGCCATCCTCTATGGCCTTAAGGAGATCAAGGACCCACCGGATGCGAGTTTTCCTCGTGACGTTTTCGGTTTCTGGAACCAGACTTCGATGCCAGGAGACTGCCGTGGTGTTCCCCTTCTTCATGGCATCCCTGGCCATCATCCGCAAGGTGTGGAGATCACCGGATCCACCTCGGAAGCCCACAGCCCCAAAGCCCGAAGCAGCATCGAAGCCCTCGGGCATCTGCCTGCGAAACTCACAAAGGGGCGTGAAGTGCGTGGTGGCGACATGGCAAATTTGTGAGAGGGGATTGAGTGAGATGCTCTGTACAAAGGTCCAGCTGGTAAACCAGTCCGTCCTCCGCGGACCAAAAGTATAAGCCGAAGGTTCCAAAAGTATAAGCCGAAGGTTCCAAAGGCTTAACTCTGGGGCGACGACCTTAACTCGCATCTTAAAGCACACTAAGTGTAGCAGTGCGAAGTGCCGCCATGTCTCCTGGCGAGGCCATGCGCTGGATGTTCACTGAGGAGGAGCTGAAGCAGCTGGACGGCCACCCCGCCGAGGACCCCGATGAGGCAAGGTGTCGAGAATGCGAAATTCCCCCAGTTTGGAACAGCTTTGGAGCTCCGGTCCTCCGGGCCCAGGTGGAGGAGCCGGAGCCGGCGAAGCCCGACCTCTTGAACCTGGAGCCGACGAAGGCGCCTGAGACCTGCTATCCTCTCTTGACCCGGCTTAGCAACTAGGCCCAGGTGGGCCTGGATGGGGTCAGGCATCGTAACCGAAGAAAAAACTAGCATTCGGGCGTCCGTCTGCCCGTCTGTCTGTCCGTTTGTCCGTCTGTGCGTCTGTCTGTCTGTCTGCCTGTCTGTCTGTCTGTCCGTCTGTCTCCGTCTGTCCGTCTGCCCGTCTGTCCGTCTCCGTCCGCCTCTCCGTTTGTCTGTTTGTTTGTTTCTCTCCCTCTCTCTCCGTATGTGTGCTGAGCCCCAAATCCTGTCTTCTGGACTGCTCACACACAAGCGCCGTCCTCACCCTCTTCTTCTTGTTCTTCATTGTCATCCTCATCATCATTCTCATCTTCCTCATCATCACCATCCTCACCCTCCTCCTCCTCATCATCATCGTCATCATCATCGGCATCATCACCTGTTACCATCACAGTCACCAGCATCAGCATCATCACCATCGTCATCACCATCATCATCATCATCATCATCATCATCATAGTCATCGTCATCGTCATCGTCATCGTCATCGTCATCGTCATCGTCATCGTCATCATCTTCATCTTCATCATCGCATCATCATCTTCATCTTAATTTCATCATCGTCATCATCATCATCATCATCATCATCATCAATACTAGCAACATCATCACCACCTTCACCATGACGGTAACCATCACCATCATCATAATCATCATCATCATCATCATAGTCATCGTCACCGTCATCATCTTCATCTTCATCATCACATCACCATCTTCATCTTCATTTTCATCATCGTCATCATCATCATCATCAATACTAGCAACATCATCACCACCTTCATCATCACGGTAACCATCACCATCATCATCATCATCATCATCATCTTCATCTTCACGATCGGAATCAATGTAAACAGGAACAACAATTGGACTCGCAGCAAGGGTAGCATAAACGTATAGCTGTGATGCTTGTCGTCGTCATTTCAGGATTATTGCTGTTGTCGTGAAGAGCAATAGCACTACTAATAATAATATTAAGAATAATGGTACTCGTAATAACAAATACCATTGTCATGAAAGTCATAAGCATACCTAGCGAAATAGCAAAATTGTCGTTGTCAGGTTATCACTACCATTATACTTATAAACGTAACCATTATTAGTTTCTTCTTATTATGAGCCTCCCCTCCATCTTCTTGATCACTTTCGTATTCATCTGCCTCTTCACCTTCGTCTTCAACTTCTTCTTCTTCTTCATGACAATCCCAATCCTCCTCCGCAGTGGTCATCGATGCCAGTCTCGTCGTGGTAGCACTAGCACCGAAGCCCCGGACCTGCCTTATGAAGAGGAGGAGGCGCCTCAAGAAGTCACGGAGGAGGCCTCCAAGCTCTTGCCAAGATCTGTTTTGAGTGTTCGTAGGAAGAGTAATCATAGCTGGATTTCGGAGGGGCAGGCCTTTTGGGGAGGATTGTTGCCTCTTGAAAGAATTGTGAGATTTAAGTCTGGGTGTTGTTGGCGGGTTTCAGTGCCGTTGCTTCGGAGCACAGCGAGGTCCCAGGTTATAGAACCTAAAGCTCGGCAGATCCTTGACCAGAGGCTTCCGTGCTTGATTCCCCTATTTTGTACCTTTCACCCTCGGCGATATGATTTTTTTGGGTTCCGCTTCGATGTGTGCGGTTTGTGGAGCTCCGACGACTTGCTTCAGTCAAGGGCAGGTGATAAAGCCTGCGCTGCTGCTACATGCTCGATTGCACGCCTTGAAACCCTGAGACAGCATCGGCTGCTTTCCGAACCCTTTATGCCACCAGCATGCTGCAAGCATAACATGCAGAGGTCAGCATGCCGGAGAAGGTGGAGAAGCCGAAGTCTGAGGAAAAAGCACCGGGGACAACGAGCTTGTCCTTGTGAGCCGAAAGCAGCCCGACATTACACGAAGAATCGTGAGAAGATCGGCATGCCTCCACTCGCAATTATTCGGTGAGTGTCTGGGAGCCGTCAGGGGTGCACGCCTGTGGTTTTTGGGTTGGAGGTGGCTGTCCGGGGAGGTGTGCCGAGTTTGAACAATTTTTCTGGAGACTGCAAGGCTTGGGGGTCAATGATCCCTTGCAGCCGCCAAAAGTGGTCCTGAGGACAGCTACACTCCTTCAATCTAGTCACATCTAGTCCCGGCAACTGCTTTGAGCGTTTTTTGTGTCCATAGTTTGGAGAAGATGCATCTATAGACGTGTTTTCAGTGCGCGTGTGCTGTCCTGGGGCGCTTTACGACTTTTCAATGATCTTGATCTTGTGAATTCTTTGTTTGCTTTGTCTTAGGATTTGGCGGCACTTGGCAATCACCCAAGCAACTCTTTGCATTTTCCATCCGCGCGACTCCACTGGACCTGTGTCGTCTTCGGGGTCTCCTACGTTGGAATGATTTCATGGGCCCTGCAGGAACGGTCTGTGTATCTTTGTAGGGTGTGACGTCAATGGGACTTTCGCAGTTATTTGTGGGATCTAATTCGCAGAACCAGCGCGCCAGCTTGGCACAGCGGATCGGCAAGCGTTACTGTCGATTGAAAATCCAATCTTTGATTTTTAGCCTTGTGCGGCCATACAGATGCATCCATACACAAACCCTGAACGATTTCTTCAGGTCTTGCTTTTCAATATCGGTGTTTTCAGCTGGGGCGCACTGTATGGCTCAGGCTCTTGTGAGGCCGGTAGCAAGTTGCAGCCTGACTCTGCTTCTTCTGGGCAGAGCTCTCTGTGTCGCCGAAGGCGATGCACTTGGGAGGACCTGCTTGGTGGCATACTCTTCGCGGATATGATTCGATAGCAGACTGAAGAGTCGATGGCCAGCCATAAATGGGCCATAAAGCGATGCATGTGCGTTCGCGAAAGAAGCTGGAGCAGAGAGAATTTCAGCCTCGATGGAAGAGTATACGCCTTTTTCGCAGGACCTCTGCGCCCGGTCGTCACGCGGTGCAGCTCACCACATGTAATGGGTAGCTGTTGCCGATACCCACTGTTCCTTTTGTTGGCAAAAGAGCATTCTCTTCCCTTCCCACTCTGCGTGTGAGAAGCCTGCGGGCCTCTCCAACAGCCGGGCAGCAGTAAGTATTGCAGCTCGGTAGGGTGGCCTGCTTCCTTGTAGCACCGTTTGGAGGCAGCTTGATTTCGAATGCAGGATAGCACAACTAGCCCCCAGGGCACTAAGTACCAGCCATCATTGGTGAAACTGGCATTCGCCAAGATAGGCAAGCAATAGGGCACCAACATTGAACTGTGTATTTCAGCACTTGCCAACTTCTGGAGTACGAGCACTTGAATCGCCAGCAGTTGCCCCCAATTCTGCACCCTCACTACCAGGACGAGCTGTGCTTGTCCAGGGTTGTTCTTGGCTCAAGGCTTCTGCCGACACTGTGGCTTCTAGTGGATCGCTCATTGCAGAAGTAGCTCGCCATGTCTGAGGCAGCAGGAGTGCTTCGAATCCAGTCCGGCTACATCCGAAGCTCCTCCATCAAGGACAGGGCCTTGTAGGCTTTGGGACCCGCAACCTTCGTTGTACAGCTTGTTACACGGTGAGCTGGTTCTTTTCGCAAAGTACGCCCTATCCCAGTACAGAGTTCGTGAGTTTTGGCTAGTAGCCGAACAGTCGGTGGACATCCACTACACTTTAAGCTCAGACAGCGAAGCTTCTGATTGTCCTTCTGAGTAGCTCATAGCTCCTGGTCCTTGAAGGTTTTCTTATGGTTGATATCATCACCACGAGCAGTTATTTCGCTTCTTTGGCTTGCAGCGGTCATAGATGGAGCAGGGCGCCAGTGTTGTGCTTCCTGCAAAGAGGCCGGAAGTTTTGCTTTTATCACTGCTTCGAACCTTTGCGGTTCGCAGGACTTGGGTCCACTCGAGTTCACTGGCAAGGTGGCTGGTGGCGACTTGTTGACAGAAGGTAAGAGAAGGTTTGCCAGCGGACAATGCTGAAGGGGCACGTGGTAGGCAGGTTGAAATGCCGCCATTGGTGACTTTGTAGATGCACGGTATTCAAGCCTCTAAAGGTTCGAAGAGAGCTGTTTGCACTTTCCGACTTTATTGAGTGCAGGACTCCGCGGAGGCTTAGTGCTCGATGGAATGGCTTATGAATATGAAATTACCAGTCCTCCTTTTTGGGCTTAGGGCGATTAGGTCCGAGAGAGTCTTGGCCCTACGCATCAAGCACAGCGCCTTGACAGAGACCAAAGCCGGAAGTCGATCCACGCTGTGCCCTCAACACCCCACTGTTTTCCTTCAGCCCCATGATGGCGAGTTTTGGGATTTGGGTCCCATTATGTCCGTTCGAGTTCTTGCAAGGAGTTCGCGGTCTCGGTTCATGGGCATCGACTAGTCAGGGTTTACCTTTTTGCGGGGACAGCCTAATCGTGCCAAGCAAAGGTCTTCGTCTGGACTTGCGCAGGCGTGCGCCCCTTTATGGAAGCGATTGGACTGATGCGTTCAAAGCCGAGAGACCTTGACGCAGCAAGACGACTTGATGTCAACTGTGAAATGCTTAAGGCAACTTTGTAGAGGGCATAGGGTGACTCTGGAACTACAGGAGGTAGTTCTGGGTTTCCTTTGGTCATTTAGGAAGCCTGCCTTACAGTCCCGAGAGTAGTGAGTGCAATCTGTCCAAGGAACCTCCAGAAATCAGTTTCTTCCATTTTGTACCTATTCATCGCGGCTCTTGCTCCTGCGATCACGTCGCTAGCCTTAAAGTGCGAGCCTTCGGGAGGTTTGGCAGTGGCTGCTCAGGTGACAGGAAGTTCAGGCATCACCTGCACCTTGCGTGTGTAGAACGTGGACACAAGCCGTCAAGCATTGCAGGTTGCCTGCGAGCGGGTGTGCGCAGAGTCTTCGGAGTAGAACACGGATACCCCGCAGTCATGTCCGCCGAGCCCGGAACGCAACAGACCTTTCATGCGTCCCAGGTTCGGAAGTCGCTTCCTCGACGGCACCAACGGACAATTCGGAGTGCTCTGGAGCAGTTGATCATGATCTCCACATGACATGAACAGCCCAAAAAGAAGCCACACGCCTGTATCTCATGAAACAGTAGTTTGTTTGAGGGCTCTTCACCAGCAGGCCAGACAGCAGCAGCAGCCGCCACCGCGGCAGTAGCAGCAGCAGCAGCAGCAGCAGCAGCAGCAGCAGCAGCAGCAGCAGCAGCAGCAGCAGCAGCAGCAGCAGCAGCAGCAGCAGCAGCGGCCGCAGAATCTGCATCTCACAATCTTTTCGTTCCGTTGTTACTTGTGATCCCATGTGTCATGGTAATTGTCGGGTCGACTGTCTGAGGTACTGGAGATGATCATGTCCACATGCGTGAGCGGCCTGCTCTTTTCCACGTCTCTCGCTTGACCGAGAAAGTTTGAGTTTCAGCTTCGAGCGGGTTTGGGGTTGGGTTCGTTCATCATTCCGCATGCCAAGCTGTTACGCTGCAAACAGTACATGTTCCAGGTTTTGGGGGCATTGAGGGTTGAGGCATTTGGGTGGGGAAGCATGCGACAGCCCACAGCTCGAAACTACTCAGACCGGAAACCCTAAACCTAAAGTGATGGGAGGGGTGAGTTTAAGATGCACTTTCTGTCGCAAAAAGCTTCTTCCGGGCCGCATGGGCCGCATCCAAGCTGCCACGAAGCATCAATCGGTTGAGTTTCCGTACTGACATGTAGCATTTCAGAGCCGTGGTATTTCCCTGGTGCGAATCCACGCTATTGCAGAACATCAGGTGAGTGTCCATGCTGTTTTGTTGTTGTGGCCCCTTCGTTCAACCTAAACCCCGGTGTAAAGTCGGCCCGGTGCAGCCTGTTCGTGGTGATTTACAAGTCAGGGGGAGCATCTCTAGGCACCCGTCGCCTCTACAAATTTCGTGATCCTCCATCCTTGCGATCTAGACCCCGAACGCGACACCCAGGTTTTCTGGACAGCCACTCTCCATCCTGGGAGCAACCGGTCCGTTCCGGGCTCAATCGTGCTGATAAGTTTGCAGGAAAGGTTGCCACATTGCCCTCGGTAGTAGTTGCGTGAGTTCATGGCCGTGGATCCCGCATGGAATTCGGATCGCTACAGAGTCGTGCCTTGCGAGGGACTTTGGAGCGCGGCATGCACTAATGATCAGGGTCGTCATGCGGTCTCACCGTCAGTCCATACCAGCTCTAAAGTGCCCCAGTTCCGTGGATGTCCCCCAGTCCATCCCGCCTCTTCGATTCGAGGGACCTGGAGCCCAAAGCCCCTTAGAAGGAAAAAGCTGGGCTGGCACCGGGCGAAATGTGCAGCCGCCCTTCGCTGAGGTTCCTGGCCTACTCCTTGGTGGTCTATGACTTGGCGCTGGCGGTGCCTCGGTGGACCTGGGGATGAACTTCCGCTCGATTTGATGCTTTTCGCCCGAGTTTTCCGGCGCATCCGGGTGCATTGGGAAGGATGCTCAGAGCAGGTCCTTTAGTAAAGGGTGCTTGTCGAGGACAGAAACATTAAGAACAGATTCAGTCAATCGGGTCTCCGGGCCTCCTTGGTCACACTGCAAACACCGTCCCCCTCCGCATAAACCCCACTTTTTTGTAGGTTCTTATTATAAACCCTAATATGGGATTTATAGGGACCCTACAAAAAAGTAGGTTTGGATATCGCCCGAAATCCCCTGGCGCTTCCGGCCACCGCCCAGTATGTCCAAGCATCCCGTGCCCAGATGGAGTTGGAGTTCCTGCCCTACTACTTCTGGGATCCTTTCCTGCACTGAGATGACGGCAGCTGGTAGGACTTACATAGCCGGAGTGCCGGTGTTTTGAACGCATGCCGAAGAAGCGTGCAGAAGGTGTGCGTAGGGTGTGAATACGAGGTGTGCATGTGGTCCTCTTTGTTCACCATCCTGGTGGCGGTCTTCGATCTCTGCGCGCTGATGAAGCACGTGACTATGTTCAGCGAAGACGGGTTTGCAAAGTTTGACGGTTCTGTTGGAGGGTTTGATGTCTAGGACCAGAAATGTTTGGGTGCAAAGTGCTGCTGGAGAGCTTATTCCGCGTTCGTCACATCTAACGGCTTGTGGTGACATCTCGCAGGGACTGCACAGGCCTGGGCGCCTGGCAGCGCACTTTGCGGTAAACTGTTGTTTGTGAACTGTTTTTTGTGCGCAGGACATCTTTGCTGGCCTGATCAGTCTTATCTTCATCATCGACGGCATCCTGCCAATCCTTCGCAACTTCATCGAGGAGACGATTCCCCTGCGCAGCGCCATGTTCGAGACGCTGCTCTTCGTCATCACCTTCGGTGGCTTGGCAGTTAGACGCCCCGGTAAGCGGTGGCCTAAACCTGAGCAGCCAAGTCCGGCTTGCATGACTGGACCCACGAATTCAGAGCCAGAGGTCCCAGTGGTTTGCGTACCCTGTGACCCTAAGATCCATAGTGACACCAAGGAGGCGCGTCCTACCTCTCGTACTTCCGCCGCACCCCATGGACCGTCCGCTCCCTCCGCTGCTCGGCCGTTGAGAATTCTTGGAGGCACGCGGTCTGCGGAAGCTAGCTAGCAAGTCCTTTGGGGCTGAGGCAA